TGTGCCTTGGTGAAGCAGTCCCTCTGGTCCTGGCGGAGTTCTCTCACAAGCCAGGCGGTCACGTGGCTGTTGAGGGCTTCTGGTCCTTTCTACTGCATGGCTCAACTGAAATTTCTAGTGGCCATATTTCCCTCAGCTTAGCAAGGGTCTGCTTGCTGCAGGAGGGAAGAAGACCACGTCCAAAGAGATACAGGGACGAGAGCAGGGAGACTCATGAAGGGAGAAGCCAGGTGGCATGAAGTCCCTGCAGCTTCTCTGCCTACAGTCATTCCAGGGTCCAAACCTGAGCCATTGGCTACATCTGGTGATACTCAGTGGACGCTGAAGCTGATCTGCCCAGTTCCCATCCCGGCTGTGTGGCCTCCTTTCATGATGCCTCAGTTTCTCCATCTATGAGATGAAGAGCATGACCACGGCCTCACAGAGCTGTGGAGATTCAATGTTGACACAAGACAGGGCTTACCTCGGTGGCTGGCCCATTAACCCAGGGTGGTTGTTTTCTGTCCATGTTAGTTTGAATTGTCTCTGTCATTTGCACTGGAAAGATTCCTGGTCAGCAGAGTGAATTTCATGGGTGACAACTCAGTTGAGAGAAAGATAAAGCTGTCTCCTATGGCAGCTGGGCCTCTACAATCACTTGAAGCCAATGGCTTTCTTTCCCCAACGGCCCAATCTTCCAATCAAGAAAACAAACACACTGCAGGCCATTAGCAGGGATCACCCTCATCCATGATGCGCCCTGGAATTGCATCGTCGGTAGAGTCATCATGATTAGAGACTTGATATCTGAGGGTGATGTGCAAGGACATCAGTGCCGTCCTTCCCAGATGTGGGGTGAGGATCCAGGACCCAGGACCCAGCAGGCTGCACCCGATTGCTGTGTGTGCTCACGGAGTATGGATGTTTGGCTTCTAGATTCTTCCTCTGCAGAGGCCGTCTGCCTGCATCTAGCCCATAAAGGGAATCCCGAAGCTGCTGATGGCCCACGCTTCAGGGTCTGGGTCGCTATTGGGGCTTGGAGCAGCCCGGCTGGAGACCCCTCACCTCCAGATCTGCCATCCGGCTGGGTCTGCTCAGTGAACAGCGTTTTACAGTTGGGCTGAGTACAGTCTGACTCGGAGCAGGGAATAAAGCCGAGCATTGTGCTGGGCTTGCCACACCATTCCTGTCCCAGAGTTCCCCATGTGTTTGTTACCCAGGATCGGCTCTGAATGTTCTCTTTGTCGCAGACCTTCGCGTGCTGAGGTGGGTTTGCCTTCTCCGTGGCAGTCCTGGGTTAAATAAATACATTAAAGCAACGTACTCGGCTTGACACTGGAGCCAGCCTCAATAACTCAAACAATTCAAGGGGCAAAAGACGGAGCCGCTGTGGTTTTGAATGTGTTTAAAGATGGATTTCTTTGTTCAGTCGCTTTGCTGGAGGAAGGGGCAGCCATGCTCCGACGCGGCTGGCCACTTTTCTCCAGCACGTCTGCTCGGGAGTCTCCAAATCCCGTGCAAATGAACGCAGAACCTGACCTTTAGCCAGTTACAGGATCCCACGCTGACATCACCGCATAAATATACCCTGCAAAGAAAGGCGTGATTAAGCTCAGTGCTGATTTTTATCACTTTTCCAGTGCACCAGCAGGTCTGCTTGTTCGTCATGCACCTTTACAAAACCCATAATATTTAGAAATGGGCTGTGTTAGCCCCAGAGGCTTAAATAAACTAAAGCCTGCGAGTGTTTTAATGTTACGAATTACCTTCATGTGTGAAATTATGACTCGCTAGGATACTCAGTAAGGCCAACATTGCACACACTTGGTTCTTTGGGGGATTTTATGTATGTTTCTCCTTCTGAAATATCTGTTTCAGACAGCTTTTTAAGTAGAAAATATTTCTATTTCAATGCTACGACATATGTCTGAGATACAAAAGAATGAGTGAAACTGTACATTTTTTAAAAATCCAGAATCTCTCAAGGAGTTTGCACTTGGCTCCACAGAGGATGTATTGGGAGGAAGGTGTCGCTGTAATCCCCCATAAAAGGACTAGATTTTCATTTTCTTTAAAAAGTAGAGACAGCCGGGTGTGGTGGTAGACACCTGTAATCCCAGCAGCTTGGGAGGCTGAAGCAGGAGGATCACAAGTTCAAAGCCAGCCTCGGCAACTTAGCAAAACCCTAAAGAACTTAGTGAGACCCTGTCTCAAAATAAAAAAAGATAAAAAGGGCTGGGGATGTGTCTCAGTGGTTAAGCACCCCTGGGTTCAATCCCCAGTATCAAAAATATATCCATAAATCAAGACAAAACAATCTGTTTTCTCAGTATAGCAGCAATCCTCAACCAAGGGCAATTTTGTCCCAGAAGGGACACGTTACAATATTGGGAGATACTTTTGGCTGTCACAGTAGGAGGGGGCTCAGGATACTACTGGTGTCCAGCGGGTAGAAATCATGATGCCACTAGATATCCTACCATGCACAGGGCGGCCCCACTCAACAAACCCCATTCCAGAATAAACAGTGCCACAGCCGGGAAGCTGCAGTGCAGTAGCTCTGGGGGTGGGCGTGGGCACCACTGGGGTTTCCAACGGGGCAGACAGTTACAAACTTCTTAAGGTGCTTATGGAAGCACTAACCTTACCTTCTAGCACATTTTCTAGCTGGTACATATTGCTTCAAAATTCCCATTACCCACTTATCCTAGCACATTGCTATAAAATGCCGTATTAATGAGATTTGCCTGGCTCAAAATCCAAACAGTAAGAGGAGCTGCTTGCTTCTTTTTAAAACTTTTCATTTTGGAAATGACATTAAACTCACCTAGTAGTTTCTAAAACAGTAGAGAGTACCCTTCACCCTACGCCCCCCCGTGACATCTTACATAACTGTAGTACAGTATCGAATCCAGATGGCTGACACAGCAGCAGTACCACAGTATCTCTCCCCTTATCTGGAATTTTGAGGAAGGGGCAGCTCTGCTCTGACGTGGCTGGCCACTTTGCTTCAGCAAGTCTGTTTGAGAGTCTTTAAATCCCATACAGATGAACAAAGAACAGGTCTGTCAGTTGCAGTAGAAAATATTAAACAAAAAAAATTCACAGATGAGCCATTCATCAATTTTAAATAATATTCTGTTCTGAATAGTGTGATTGTCTTATGTCATTGGCTCTGTCCTGTCTGGGATGTGAGTCATGCCTTTGTCCGGTGCATCCAGGTGGTATATGCTACCCACCTGACAGTCACTCCACGGCCATTGTGGTTATCAGATCAATTATCCTGGTATCACAGTGCTTCTGTTCAGATAACCATTATTTTACCTAATTATGGCCCTAAAGCCCAAGAGTAGTGATGCTGGCAATTCAAATTTGCGAAAGAGAAGCCAAAGAGTGCTTCTTTTAAGTGAGAAGATAAAAGTTATTGATTTATTAAGAAAGACATATGCTAAGATTGTTAAGACCTATAGGAAGAATTAATCTTTTTTTTTCATGAACTTGTGAAAAAAGAGATTCATGTAAGTTTTGCCTGTATGAAATTCAAACTACAAGTTACAGTCACAGTGCATGATAAGTGCTCCGTCAAGATGGAAAAGCCATTTGCATATGTAGGAGTAGGAAAGACACAGAGTGCGTGAAGTTCAGTACTGTCTGTGGTTTCAGGCACCCACTACCATCTGGAATGTGTGGCCATTGGATAAGGGAAGGCTGCTGTGCTAAACCACATATGATTCGAGTTTTATATTCACTCAAATTTTAAATGATAAGACACTGAGAAATGTACTCTTCCAAAATCCTCAGCTTTATTCCTCTAGAAATGCCCTGCACGGGACCAAAACAATACCCATCTTTAGCATCTCAAGGATCCTCACTGCCCAAGGTTCCAGCTGATGGGAGGAAAGGAAGTCTCAGGAGGAAATAATTGTTTTCTTGTGTTATTAGTCAACTTCTTCCCTTTTCAGAACAAAGACCCAAATGATACTTTCTGGTTTTCCATCCCTTCTTATTGATTTTTTTTTTTCAATTTGTCAGTTTATAAGTCTTCCAAAAGCTCAAGTATCAAACCTCAGGACAAAACATAATGACTTTCTCAACTTCCGCCCCTGGCACTTCAGCCACCCGGAGCACTCGCCAGCCTGCCCTGCCAAGAGATATAGTGGTTTTTCTCTTTAAGAGTCTTTTACGAATCAAAGTGGACCGCTATGGCCCCGGCCCACCGAGGGAAGGCATGGTCTTCATTGCTGCCCGCTATGAGGACCCTCAGATGGAACATGGGGACAAGGATCGGCAGGCTGCCCCCACACTCGGCATCCTTCAAGAGCCTTGGAAAGAAGGCAGTGAGGGGAGCCTGACCCAGGCGCAGTCCATGAAATCGTGCTAGCCTCAAAAGACACGGAACTCTACTAAAAGACCTAGCAGATGGGTTTAGCACTGTCTTTTGGAGGGCCATCCGAGGAAGCTAAAGTCCAGTGGAAAGGAAAGTCCCAGATCAAGGAGTTGGAAGAACTAAGTCCAAGTCAAGTTTCAGCTTTGCCACTTTCTGACTCTAAGGAATTCAGAATGCTTCCCTGAGTAGGGAAGGAACTGAGCTGAGTTTATCAGTTTATCCATCTCCCTCACACACACACACACACACACACACACACACACACACACACACACATTAATCCATTGAGAGATTTATTATGAGGAATTGGCTTATGCAATGACAAAGTTTGAGAAGTCCCCTCATCTACCATCTGCCAACCGGAGGCCCAGAAAAGCTAAGGGTGGGCTTCTAGTGTAAGTCTGAAGGGGAGCCAATGGTGTAAGTTCAGGTCTGAGAGCAATGAAGAAGTCTCAGATCAAGCTGTGAGGCAGGAAAACCGGGCAGTCAAAATTTCCCTTCCTCCCCTTTTTGTTCTCTCTGGGTCCTTAACAGATTGGTTGATGATCCCTCACACTAGGGAGGGCAGTCTCCCGAGATTAACATTCAGAGGTTAATTTTATCTGGAAACACTCTCACAGAGATCATCATGAATAATGTTCTGCTATATATCTGGGCATCCCCTGTCCCAGGCAAGTTGGCACGTAAATTGACTACCCCATATAACATCAAGAGGAAAAAGTTGTCAAAGAACATGTCAGGTATGCTACATGTGACACACGGCCTGAAGACCCACACCGATGTTGTGGGGATAGAAGGGTCCAGTACAGGATCAATTACCTCCGGACTGAGGGAGGCCAGGGAAGGTAGGTGGGCTTCACAGTCCTAGCAATATTTGTTTATTGAACTTGGAGTTTCCTTCATAAGATTCCTTCCATTAGTCCATTATTATATAACAGTTTTTTATATCTAAAAATGCTCAAGATTTGGAAAAAAAAATGTTTGCTATCATTCAAAGAGGATCTGAGTAGGAAGATCAAGGAAATGGATTGAGACCCTGGGAACTGTCTGAGTGGGTCTCCATCCCTTTGTTTCCTTGGGCAATTTGCTAACTGCTCTGTGCCTTGGTTTCCCCATTTGTCAAGAGCACCTCCTTCATAGAGATACTTGGGAGGCTTAAGTGAGATAATGTTTGAAGGCCACTTACCACCATGCTTGACATATAATCATCTGAGTGTCAAACTTTAGCTACTGCACAATGCATCAGATTAGCCCGTCATCCCCATGACTCCTTCATCGACAATGAGTGATACTGTGTGCGGACGATAGAGATGCTTCCATCTCTGGCCATTGCAGTGTGATATTTAGGACACAGAATAAAGTTATTATTACAACCCCAGATTTATGAGCCAGAATCTTACTTGAATAACTTGGGTCACTTCACTGAAATATCTTGCAGAGAGATAGTTGAATCTCTGTTTGGATTCCAGCCAATAGCCATAAAAATTCTTTGCCACTCAGTAAGGATATGTATTATAGCATTGTAGGCATCCTGGATATCGGAACTTTCACTTTTTGGCTGTGCCTGATAAACTTGAACATACGACACCTTCAGCAACTCTCAGATTTATGGCCACAAATTCCAACTTCCTGGCCCCAGGCCCGTGCAAGTCATGTTACTTACTACCATATAATGTTACCCTTGGTAGCCAACTCCAAAGCAAGGTGCCTAGAACAATGTTCAGCTCCATTGCCAAAATACCAGAAAGATGGAGTTGACTTTAATAACTCTAAGCCACATTTTCGTCTCTGTATTTTCCAATGTTAGAACCAACCCAGAGAAACTTTTCTTCTTCATGCTACTCTCAAATCATTCTGATAAAATTTGAGAGATAATTTTTTCTATCTTAAAAACAGTCTAGTCCTCTGGGGATGGCCAGCGACTGCTGGGATTTCTGCTCAACAAAGAGAGCAGAGAGGAGTGGATTTCAACATGAAACCTCAAATGTCCAAAGGGACATAAATGTCACCTAGCACTGCCATCTGCAAGTCCTGGGTCTAATCTGTTTTAAGAATGAAAGCATCTTTCTATCCTTAAACAGCACAATTCTCCCAGCCTTTAAATTTACTTTTTTCATGTAGGTTTGTGAAGTATGGTCTTGTTGATTCAACATCTGGAACTACTCAGGTGGTTTGTCCATGCCGACTTTATGAACAATAAAAGCAAACCACTGGATGATCCCTGGATATTTAAACTCGGGGCATAGGCATCCTGGCTTCACTGCTGACAAACACAAGATTTTAATTCTCCCTGCTAAAGCCAAATGCAACAAATGTGGTTGTGACTAGAAGGCTAAGCGTTCTTCTCAAAATAGACTACTTGTCTAAGATACGATTTTTTTAAAACTGTGGGGCACATATCTCAGCATTTTTTTCTGAAGTTCTTGAAAAATCTTAGGTTTGTCCCCAAACCAAGCACAGTTCCACTTTTTTTTTTTAAAAAAAGCTGACTATGGTTGATTACTTGCTAGTTATAGTTTCCCCCAAAACGGAGAAGAAACCTACAGAACTAATGTGGCCATATCACGCCAACCCCACTCCTGGAACTATTTTTTATGATGTGGAGAAAGACTCCCCTGAAGTGATTCCTGAGCAGTTTTCAACTAATATTCAATTTTAGAAATGTCCTTAAAAAGGTCATCAGAACAAAAGACAAAAGGTTCTCAAGGCCAAGCATAAGAAAGAAAAATCCAACTGTACCTATTTGATTGTAAAGTATAGAAAAATGTGTCTGTAACATGGAAATGACCCCCGAGGATCTCTGTATATTATAAGAAGATATGAAGATGGCAATGTCCCAATATCACCAGTGCTAAAATACACGGTCAGTTGAGTCTTAAGATGATACACCAACACAAACCAACCCAGGACACCAACAGCACTGCTAGCCTACTACATGCTAAGTGGCTCTGGAATAAGAATCACTTTCATTGTCTCTTCATTCCTTTTTAAAGTTTTTTTTTAGTTGTTGATAGACCTTTATTTTTATTTATTTGTTTCTATGTGGTGCTGAGAACCGAACCCAGTGCCTCACACATACCAGGCAAGTGCGCTACCGCTCAGCCCCTGTTTCTTCATTCTTAACACCAAGCACCAGGCCTGGGAGAGACTAAGGTGCTCAACATACATTTAATTATGGGATGCAATTGTTAATAACGGATTTATGACTTTAATGAGTAGAATGTCACCAAAAATTCATGATAGTTCCAAAGAAATCCTTTGACACTCGTGTACTCCAAGGAGACTTCAAAAATGCAGACCCTAAGAAAGATTGCAGCCCTTCTGACACCTTATTGAAAGAGAAATCATTTCTCTCCTATAGAGCTGATAATCAGAAAAGTGACTTTGGAAGAGTCATTTGGAAGTGGACCCTTTCCCATTGCGACTCACCCCTTGCTAGGATTATCTTCTAAAACATAGCCCCTGTCATCTCACTGCCCTGCAGAAACACATGCAGGGACTCACACAGGTCACTTTTCAAGGCTGAACAACCTCCCACAGAACCTGCTTCCTGCCTACTCCGCAGCCCCTCCCCACTCTGCTCGGGGCACAGGGGTCTCCATTATATCCCCCTAAGGCCAAGCTCCGTCTTTCCACAGGGCCTTTGGGTCTGGGTGTCTGACTTCCTTCCGCACTTCTCCATGTGGTGGGTTCCCAAGGGTCCCCACAAATGCTACATACTCAAAGAGGCCTCCTCTGACCACTCAGTCTAAAGATGCCCCCCACCTCATGGTCTTCACTATTCCATCATCCTGTTTCCTTCCTGGGTTGCAGGGGCTGGGGGCGGGGAAGAGTAGAGATGGTGGGAAACACAGTTGACAAAGTATCTGGTGAGGGCTAAGTTTTGCAAGGCTTTGGTGACGGGGTTCAGATGGCATCTGCGCAGCCATCTGGCACCACCTGGGGAAGTTGCAGGGGGGGGGTTCCCATTACAGAGTGGACAGGAGGTCATGCTGAGGAGACTGGAAGGCAGGGTCTCTTCAAGGAGCCGCCATGAGGGTCCAATCAGAGGTGGCGATGGTCCCCGTGAAGGCAGATTAGACAAGATGCAGAACAGGAGGAAAAGAGGAGCAAAACAATTCCTGATCCCAAAGAAGGCACTCTCCGGGCGAGAAGCCCGACACTGACACCCTGAACTGCAAGATCTTGGGAAGCAAGGACTCCAAGGGACGCGTGGAGGGACGATGCTCCTCCTGGATGCTCCTGCCCGAGGTCACTTCCTCCCTCCCGTTATTAAAGCAGCAGTTCCGTTCATTCCTTCTTTGAACTCTTGTCTCGTCTCTTCTTCGTTTTCGGGAAAGTTTGGTTGGGTTTCTTTTTCTCTGTTTTCCTTTTGAAATGAGAACAAGCTTCCAACGAGATTTCAAAGTGAAGCTTATGGAGGGACCTGCTTCCAGTCTTTTAAAGATCCTAGCACACACTCGCCAGAGTCTGAATTTGAAATCATAAAAGCCTGCTATTTCTCAGCTGTGGAATCTGATAAAAACCAGAAAGGCAAACAAATAGTAATCAGAAGTGGACTTTCCTTTGCTAGATAAATTTGTGGACACTACTTCTCTACAGATTAAGTGGGTGCACACACAAACAGTGAAGGCAGAGCCGGGCAGACACGAGCAAATGCTGCCGTGGATGACCACTCTAGATCACAGGAGGCAAAGGCCGGTGGGTACCGTGGCAGCGTGCGCTTGAATATCTGCCAAAATATATGTTTTTAAATCCAGTGCTTCATTTTTAATATCGATGATGTAGCTTGAGAACCGTTACATACCCCATCACTGGAGAGTTTTATTAATTCAAGCTCTGTTAGAATCAACTGTGAATTGCTTCAACCCCATGACAATAATGTCACTAATAGCACTATTAAACTGAGGTCAGGGTGAATAAGTTCTGGCTAATAAAGGAGGCAATAAGACAAGCGGTAGCAGATGTAGGTGGATCTGAGTTCTAATTTCTGGTCTACCACTGGCCAGTTATTCACCCTCCGTGAGCCTCAGTTTCCTTATCTGTAAGATGGATTGAATTCATATTTGCTTCCTAGGGATGCAGCGAGGATTAAATGAGATATGTGCAATGTTTTGTAGGTGAAACACCTCCACAAATGGGTTCCCTTCCCCCAAGGACCTGACAACTCAATTTCACTAGGTGCCTCAGTTTGTCACGGAGTAAGATGACTGAAAACACTGAATTACTTGGCAGAGAGTGGCTCTGATATGGAATAAAATGAGCGCCAGGTTATAGTTTCTTTTCTTCCCTTCCATGAGGGAGTGTAGAAATTGCCAGAAAACTTGCTGGCCGAAATTCTAGAGGCCATGAAGTCTCCATCTTTTCCAAAACTAAAGGCTGAGTCAATTAAACAAGTCCATAAGGCTTTCAATGTCTTCCTTATTACTTCTGCAAAGATGAGAAAACAAAAGAGATGATTCAATAATTAATCCAAAACTGGGACTTGGTCAGGATGACCTGGCGTGTGCAGAGACAGTCACGAGGTCAGAGAAATTTTTCCCATTTCTAATAAACCAAAGAGATTTTTCTGGCCATACAAATCATTTATACTTAACACCTATTTAATAGGTTGGCAGCAGCTGACTTTCAAACTTTTCAAATATGAAAAGTTATGTCAGTTTCTTTTAAAATGTGTGATTTCATACACCTACCAAGGAATACTCCAGTTTATCATAAAGTCCTCTGCAGGTTTTAAAGCACTTTCATTTGCATAAGCTCATTGAATCCAGTCACACCTCTTTTCTTGATGAGAAACTGAGATGGCCTCAAATCAAGTCTTCCAGAGCGGAGGCAGATGCTCTTCTCACCACTGCAGAGTTTCTTCTCCATCATATTGAAAACCTAAGTTAGAAAAACAAGTACCTCAATAGGGGCTGCAGTGTGTTTCTCCAACATTCGTATGTTGGAGCTCTAAAGTACTTTACAATGTGACTCTATTGAGGAAGAGCCTTTAAAGAGACAATAAAGTTAAAATGAGGCCATAACTATGGGTCCCAATCTAATCTGACTGTTGTTTTTATAGGAAAATAAAAATCGGACACAAAATTTGGGCACACAGAGAGATACCAGGGATGTGCGCATACAGAGAGGAGCTTCTGAAGACACAGTGAGAGGGCAGTCATCCACAGGCCACAGAGAGACATCTCAGGAGAGATCAAACTTTTGACATCTTGACTTTGGACTTCTAGCCTCAGGAAACATGAAAAAAAATTTTTATATCATTTAAGAAACATCGTCCGTGGAATTTTGTTATAGCAACGCTAGCTAACTAATACACATCAATACAAGACAGCTAACACCAAGACTAATCATCCAACTTATTAATCAAACAATCAACTCTATTTGTTCAAAATTAAAATCCCTTTCTTCCCATAGATAACTTTAGGATGTGTATCGGTCAGGTCCAAACATGAGAAAGAAACTGTACAGTAGTTTGAATTAGAAAAGCTTCATATAAAGAATTATTAATCTAAGGTAGGATTGGCGTAATGGGGGACTGGTTAGTACCTCCTAGTAGTAGACAAACAGATAACTAGGACCTCTGGGAGTACAGGAACAGCACTGTAAGGAGCAGTTCCGTATCAGGGCACAAGTCGGAAGTCCAAGGAAGAGTCCCCCCACACCCACCGGCTCTGGAGGATGGAATGCAGATCTTGTTGAGGAGGACATGGCCACAGCTCAGAGGATGACATGGAAGTGGCTGTGGTGCCAGGGAAAGCTGCTCTCAGGTGGTCTCTTTGTGACATGGGTACCATCTATAAAAGGACAAGTTTTTCTGAGTGTGGGGGAAGCCTGGAGGCCATTGGGTGCTGCTGACTGTGTGTTTTGCAGGTGATAGACGCTGAGGAAGCTGTGGGTACCATAGAAACCAGGTGATGGAGAATCAGTGCCAGGGGCAAGGGACAAGCAAGCCACTAGAACCAGGAGGAGGAAGCCCTTTCTCCTGGGTCAGTCTCTCCAGGGCCTTCTAACTGAGCCGGACCTTTGCCAGCTGGCAAAGACAGAGCGAGAGAACAGCTCTCCACGTGTCCCCAGAGCCCGCGATGAAGGAAGAATTTGGAGGCGATACACTGAAGACGGACAGAGGACGGTTCTCAGTTGCACTAAACCTGGGATTCGTATGTCCTGGGGGAGCTAAAGGACCTATGCCAATGCTCTAAATCCACTTTAATAGAACACCAAAGAAAATAGCGATATTTGGGGGCAGGTTCTCAAAAGAGAGGCACAGACATTTGAAAAAAGCAAAGGTAGGAAGAAACAATGCAGGGCAATCTGCACAAACAGAACCAGCTTCCTTCAGCGGAGTCTCTGGTCTCTTGTTTTTGTGTCAGGCAATGACTATAGGCTCACAGGGGGCACAGCCCACATCGTGATCCACGCTGCTCCTGGATTTCAATCTCCTGGACTTCCTTGTTCATAAAGTCATGTTTATCTGAATCACAATATTTACAAGTTAAATATTTAAAACCTCGGTTATCTTGGAACTAACCAGTCCTTAGTGCCAATATGCGTCTTTCTTAATTGACTCCAAACTAGTTCAATAATTAATTTTAAATAATAATGACCCCTAAAGATTTTTAGTTATGGAGAGAAAGAGAGTTCCCCAAGAGCGTTCCAAAGTTGAAGTTTGGTTAATACAAAGTTGGTATCTCTGTTTTTAAAAAATTCTTCTAGAAGGTTCTAATTCTGCAAAGAGTAAGATAAATCTCTGAGAAACCAGAGACAGGCAAGGGGGGCCATTTAGGTAGCTCTGTTTTTCCTTTCACATGAGGAAACTGAGTCCCAGGAATCCTTGCCCCAAATCCAGAGTAGCTACACTGGAACTAGATTCAAGATCTTCTAATTTCTTTAAATTTTCTTTATGGCCACCTTTGTGGCCCCTAAAATCATGCTATACTTGACATTTTCCAGGGTAAAGCTGAGAATGCAGGGAAGGAAGGAAAGGGAAAAAGACTCAGGCACAGCCTACTGGTATCTGCTACTCCACCAGCTGGGCTGCTGCCATCCCTCTTGGGAGCAGTAAGCTGGGGAAGCCACTTTTCCCGCTCTCATTTCCCCCAGTGGCCAGCACTGGAGGATCACATGCAAAACACTCCTAGTGTCGCATTGTTAAAGGGAGTGCCTGAAGCACCCTACTGCATTAGGAGGAGGTAAGAGGCAAGAATTTGGATCACATTTCCTCGTTTTGCTTTGGTGTTGTTTGCTTCTTTTTGTATCAGGTTGCTTTGGTTTGTTTCGGACAGTTAGAAAGCTGGACTGCGTGTGTAAGACGGTCACTCACACCTAGGGAAAGAACATGGAATGTGTGACTTATAAAGGAACAATAAGAAGAGACTTTTCCCATCTCTCAAACTTAACCAAGAATTTAGATACAGCCAGGATGCTCCTTGGCCATTTCTATTTCTAATCCATTCTAAATATATTTTTTTCACAATCATGCATTTTGAATTATTTCTATCAAAAGCAATTAAAGTGTACAATTTATAAATAATGGCGTGCAATGGTATTCGACTAACATGAGCCTTTTAAGATTAAAAACAACAAAACAACAACAACAACAAAAAACCTACAAAATTTTCATCACCTCCTGGACTGTAAGATCTGGGGGAGGGGAGATTGCTCTTTTTGAGATGATCTGTCTGGGCTTTCTGCCTTTATTAGTGAGGAGTTGAAGACCCAGTCAGGCTCACCTGACTTGAACGGCTTAGAGTTAGCATTTCTCCCTTCCCCTTCTCTCTGCCCCTCCTCCCTCCCTCCCCTTATGGATCTGAGATAACAGCACAGATAATAATATAAATCTGTATCTTCAAAAAGAACCTTTGTCCAGGTGCTTGATGCCATCTAAACTCCCTGTGTTGCTGAAATAAAGTGTGTCTCATTGCATCAGACTGTGGAAACACGCTGGCTCACAGCGGGCACAGCCTACAACGTGATCCATGCTGGGTGCTGACAGGATGCAGAATCCTTCCCTATCATCCCGAAGCACTGGGCACAGGACACAGCAGGAAAGTGGACCTGGGAACCTGGCTCCTTCCAGCAGCCATGTCAGAAGCACCAACTAAATCTAGAAGCCACAGATGCAAATTAACTAATCCGCTCCTCAGAGTGCCAGGAAGGAATGAGCCAGTCACTACCCCCATGTGCCACAAGCCCTGATCCAAAGTTCAATGTGCTTCTGATTTTCTTAGAACCTATTAAAAAAATGTCATTTCAAGGCCACTCCCCACCTCCCCATTTCCCACAGTCTGGACAGGTGTGTTTTTCACACTCTTCCACAACAGAGCTTCATGGAGGAGAGAGCGCTTGCTTTTAACGGCTGTACAGGGTAGTAGTTGGTCTCATGTACGCTTCCTAATTGATTGAACGTACAGATCCAGACTCGACGTGGTTAATGAGGTACCAGGAATTTCTTTTCTTGCTGAGACCCTTTAGTGACAATCCCTCTGAACAAGCTTCACTCCCCATCACATGAGCAGAAGCGCTGTGCAAGAAAACATGTTCCCTAATAGATGCGCCTGCAAAGTGTTTTCCTATCATTTTCACTCTTCCCTGTTTTCCCTTCACTTTCCTGTCACATATAAATTGGATCCGAGGCTGATGTATCACAGGGCAATGGGGTGCAACTCGTGTTATGGCTAAGATAGTTTTACGCAATTTTTATCAGCAATGGTCAAGGACAGAAGAAAGTTTCTTGTTACTAAATTACCTTGAGAGAGATGGAGAGTTTTATTGATTAAAGTAAGTTAAGTGTGAAAATTGCAGCTCGGTGTTACTACAAACACACATTCTTTTCAGAAGTTTCAGTCTGTTAAGCTGATGTGGTGCCAACACAAACAGAGCTGAATATTGGATTCGGGGCACTATTTTCTCAGTGAAAATGTCGCTGACTTGGAGAGTAGTTCAGATGGACCTTGAGATCGACTCTGAAGAGGAGGGCTGCCAGGTTGGGGACCCTGAGGTTGTCCACCTGTGCCATTCAGCTCAAAGCAAGAGCCCGTCTCCTGACCCCTCGGTGGAGACTTCCAGAATGTTCTCAGCATGGCCGTCATGTGGCAGCTCCTGTTTACCCTCAGGTAGGATGTTTTGAGACCCTATTGAGAAATAATGCTAATTTGTATGGCACATTTTCAAGTTGAAATCATTCTGTGGATTTTCTGCTGCTTACAGAAATCTGAGCTCAAAGCAAGTCTTCTGCTCCCTGTCACTGGGGTTTAATAACAGAAAGCAAAGAAATCTTATAAACAGACCCTTTCTATTAATGATAGGCCGACTTCTCCCTTCTTGAAACTTGAGTCACGGGATGTAGACGTTATATCATAAGTGGAAACCAGATACCCTTAGAGCCAGAAGTATCTCCAAAAACACTAATTGGATTAAAAATCACGAAGCCTACTCACAGACTGGGGCATTCAAATCAAATTAGCCACCATCTTATTTTTTAAAAAAATAAAGAATTAGAGCCTTGTGTGTACACTATCACCACAAGTTAGTGAGGGAGATAGCATGACTGGAAGTTCTCATGCTTCTGGAAGTTAGATACCACAAAGTGCCCTTCCTCACAAAAGTTGAACAAAATCCGGAAGTGTTATGGCTAAATCCTCCCAAAAGGGCTATACTAGAATTCCTCACTCAGAAAACAAGAAAATGGACGTTCAAGTGGGTTGCACCCAGCCCCAGACCTCACAGTGACATGGCCGCAGCGCCCACAGGTGAGACCCAGGTATCCTCATCTGCATGCTAGGTATGCTTTGCAAACTGCACCCACATTTCCCTTTTGGGTGAAGGGAAACATGGTGATCATTCCAAACAGCAGTGAGACTGTGGAGCAGCCCAGACAGGGGCCCTAGGGTCCTCTTGGCCTCAGAATCCAACGTGATCCTCCTCAACTCTTAACCAGACTCAGACAAGGGGTAAGGAGAGCCAAGGCCCAGCAAACAGCAGAGGACTTCTACTTCTGGTCAGGATGCAGGAGAATGGGAGACGCTGGTTCTCAGGTAACAAGAGAAACTTGGACAACATACAGTCCACTGAAGGATGGAAGGGTACAGAAGGCCTGCCGAGCTGAGCATCAGAGAGAGGGGAGCCCTCCTGCAGAGCAGCTAGCTTCTCTCCTTGACACCACATCCTGCCCCGAGTTGTTAGGATGCCGTGGAGGAACTAGAAAACAGGCCCAGGTGCCTGAATTCTGAGGCCCAGACTGAGTTTAACCAAATAGAATCAAGGACATCTGGATCACAGCTGCTTTGCTCAAATACTGACTCAGCAAGGAAGGGTTCGGCCACAGGGGGGGTGGAAACACCTGGAAGGGCAGATAAATGAGTAAACACGAAAGCTGGTTTTTATCAGTGTTGATTCCTGAGAAGGGCATTGCTGAGGCCTTGTCTTAGGAGGTCTGTAAGATATAGAGTGAATAGACAACATCACAGCACCAGTGTTGGGGGAGTAAACATGGTGCCGACGCCCCTCAAGTCACACCAGGCGCATGTCCCCAGACACCCATCTTCAAGTAGAAGACTCCGATGCTGGGCCGTGGCAAGTCAGGCACCATCTATTAGTGTCTAGACCTGGGTTCAGGGCATAGTACATGAAGGGTCCAAATTATGATTTCTAGAGCAATTATATAAAACAAAGACAGAGATGCCCTCTTTTACCTCCCCCTGCCCTTACCCTGTCTGTGTCTGGAGAGAGATCACAACGGGGCACACTGCCCAGGTGGCCTTCAGGAGGCTCTCCTCTGCCCAGCTGGCTCCCGTGTTCTGTCCTTCTCCAGAAAGCAGACTCACCTGGGGCCTCAGGATGGCGCAGAAGCAGGGTCCCAGCCCCTTTGTCTCCGCTGCTGAGAGTCCAGCTCAGAGCTCCCCGGCACTGGACAAGGCCATTGTTGCAGCTGGGTTGCGGTTCAGCCTCCCGCCCACTTCTGCCTCCCTCACCCCCCCAGGGCTGAATGCTGAGGCCGCTCCCAGGAGAGGCCCTGCATGCAGTGCCCGCTGAACCTGACCTGTGGAAGCTGCTCCCAGGAGCATATTGGAGCTGGCGCCTGCCAACCTCAGCAAGGAGGACGCCTCCTGGTGGTAGGTGCTTGCACCTGGGGTGAACGAGGATGTGACACCTGGGAGAGATGCTCTGGCCCACTCATGTTAGGCGTTTATGAGTTTGGGGGGAGAATAGTAAGTGTGAGAACCTCAGAATCAGACATTTGTTACTGGGAGCCATCAGTGTATCCGAGAAATATAATGAAAGCCTCTTGGTGATCACACAGCAATCTAAGGCCATGCAGTCTTACTCAGAGCAAAGCGTTCAAGAAATTCTAACGAGCTCT